AGGCAGACCCCCACTACGGTGAGCGGATGACATAAGGAAAATACCAGGTGGAAATTGGTATCAAAAGGCCCAAAACAGGGATCAGTGGAAAGAATTAGGAAAGGCCTATGTTCAGGAGTGAACGAGAAGTGGCTGAGGAAGAAGAGAGATCTTTTTGTCGAAAATACCAACATACAGAGACAAGCACTCATTACGATCCATTTGGCAACGGTATCTCAAGCTCGCCGTATTCCTACGACTAGACTTTTGTAATGCTACCAGTGTGTATCTCAAAAATATTAGGTGTTGCTGAGGGATTGAAGCAGTTTGATTGAGGCATTACCATAGCAACGCAAGCAGGAACGTTTTGGCTCTCAATGTGTTGCCAAGCCAAGCGTGAAGTTACCAACCAAAATGGAAATCCCAAAATCTCGAAAAAAGTACGTTTTGCCGGGGTGTGATTTAAAGCATGATGATGCAGGAGTCAGGACCATAGCAACACAAGCAGGAACATGTTTGAGCGATCTTGCTTCCAGTGTGTTGCCAAGGGTAAAGTTAGCAACCAAAATAAAAATCGCTGTATCCCGAAAATAGTACGTGTTGCCGGAGTCAAATTTGAAGCAGAACGAGGCAGGACCATAGCAGCACAAGCAAGAACCTGTTTCAGCGATCTTGCTTCCAATGTGTTGCCAAGGGTGAAGTTAGCAACTAAAATGGAAATCGATATATTTCGAAAACGATGGGTGTTGCTGGGTTGCGGTTTAAAGCAGGACATAGCGGTAATATAGCAGCACGAGCAGAGGTGCATTTTAAAGAGCCTGCTTTCAATGTGTTGCTAACATTCCCGAAGTGTTATCATATCATAAGCTACAAAAGCCTTTTTTATGTAAGATCAAGAAAACTCGTTATAACACTTCATACGAAAATTACAGCAGGAAGAAAACATGCTTGGAAAAGATTGACAAAGATTTCAGGCCGTGAGCGATTATTAAATATATACAGAAATAACAAATATCTATACATAGAAATAGTATTTTACAAAATGTCTTGACAAAACTGAAGCACGTAATCGAATTACATCTGTCCAGTGAAAGTGTTTTTAATTACTATAGATATTAATCAATATTCAGAATTATCGGGTTAACGCCTTTGAGTCTGGATTATGTGTTAAATAATCGGAATTTCTGTTACAGTTTGTAACAGTTTCCATATGCAAACGAACAAAAAGGTGATGATTTATCAGCCATAATTCATTTGTAAAAAACTGAAATCAATCGGTACTGACATTGCATTCAAACAGCTAGTTAAATAAATTATTTGATTTTATTGGCGTGGAATGTAATTGGAAAGGTAGGTGCAAAGAGATAAAATGTTATTGTTATACATAATGCTGCATTTATTTATTTTAACGATGCTACTTTGTAGATCCTTGACACGAAAATAAATCAGTTGAACTAGGAATTTTTTTTTTCGTGTCAGGTGCAAACGGAAGATCTATACTGTGGGCCAAATTTATTTGAAACCCAATTTGGCTCTGAATATATTGTTTTCAATTCGGCGGATTTCTGTGAAATTTTGTGCGAATATTAAGGGGGCCTCTCTTTAATTGTAGAAAAAATATCTAATCGAAATGTACAGGGGGAGCCAAGTAAGAAGCAGTATTATTAATCAATGCCTTCGGAGCAAAATTAAATTTTTCACTCTAAAACTAGGTACATAAATTATTTGAAAATATTAAGAAATTATCGGAGAAAAGGCCATGGAAAAATATTTCGAAAAACTTTTTCTTCTTCATCTTCTTCGTCCATCCATTGTCGGATATAGGCCTTTTCCAGGTTTTTCCATGTCCCGCGATCTCTCGCTTATCTCATCCATTGTCCCCCTGCCACCGTTCTGACATCGTCTATCCATCTCTTTTTCGGTCGAACCACATTTCTTGTTGTTCCTCTTGGTCTCCAGAGTGCCGTTTTCTGGGTCCATCTATCTGGGTCCTGTCTCGCCACATGTCTGATCCATTGCCACTTCTGGCTTGCTACCCTTTTCACAACATCCGTCACTTTGGTTCTATAATATATTTGTTCATTTCGTATTTTATCCCTTGAGGTGATTCCCAGCATTATTATCTCCATGGCTCTCTGTGCGACTCTCAGTTGCTCAGCTAATCTTCGGGTTATTGCCATAGTTTCTAAACCGTAGGTGAGAACCGGCAGAATACAGCTGTCGTAGGCTTTCCTATTTAGTTTTATGAGTACCTTTTTATCTTTAAAAATAAAGTTCATGTTTCCGAATGATACCCATGCCAAATGCATCCTGCATTTGGTTTCCGCCGTTTCGTTTTCTTTGCCCAGCTTGATTTTATGTCCTAAGAATATGTAATGTTCTATATTTTCTATGGTAACGTTGTCTATGGTGATGTTACATTCTTCTTGCTCATTATTTTGGTCTTGATTAGGTTAATTTTTAGGCCTATTTTCTTGGATTGTTCGTTTAGCTCATTTAGCATGTTGTTCACTTCTTGAATGTTGGTGTTCATCAAGACTATATCATCTGTGATTGAGGTATACTCCATCGATATTTAGGCCCTTATTTTTCCATTCCAGCTTCTTAATAACATTCTCCAGTGCTAGGGTAAATAGCCTGGGAGAGATGGTATCCCCCTGGCCCCTGTCGTACTTCTTTGCCAAGTGATATTTTGTCTGTTCGAAGATCGTCATCTATTTTTACGTGAAAGGTTGCCTTATCATAGATATTCTTAATAAGGGTAGAGGGTAGAGTATCTCGAATCGATTCTTGCGTCCTCCATTGCCGCTAGAAGAGACCAGGTTTCAACGCTGTCAAAGGCTTTCTGGTAGTCCACCAACGCCAGATGTAGGGGTATGTTATATTCCGTTGTTTTCTCGGTGACTGCTTTAATTGTTTGCAGATGGTCTGTAGTGCTAAAGCTCCCTGAACGCCTGCTTGTTCTACCGTTTTGTGGGAGTCTGGCTTCGCAGTCAGTCAAATGTTGATAACTCTAGTGAAAAGTTTATATGGGTGTGATAGCAGGCTTATTGGTCTATAGTTTTCTATATTTGAACGATTTTTCCATGGTTCCGGGATTTTTCCCTCTATCAGACATTTGTTTAACAGCATTCCTATATTGTCTCTGTTAGTGTTTTTCCACCCATCTTTAGCATTTCCGGTGTTATTCGATCTTCTTCGGACTCTTGCCCTTTTTCGTCTGTTGAAGTGCATATTTAAATTCTGATGGTGATATTTCCGGCATGTCTTCTGAGCCAACGTTTGTGATGTGTTTAGGTGGTCCATTTGGGCTTGGTATAGTTGTTTGGTAGAGCTGTTCGTAGAATATTTGTATTTCCCTTCTAATTTCTTATTTGTCTGTGATTAGGATTCCTTGATTGTTTTTTATTTTCGTAACTTTCGGTTTTCCCCTCTCTTGGTTCGATCTTAGAACTCTCATGCCTTTATTTTTCTCTATAGATTTCAGGATTTGGTTTTTTTTGTTTTCTCTTAAGTCTTTTGGGGAGTCTCTGTCAGTTTCTCTTTTTTTTCTTATTAGTTCTATCGTCTCTGCTTTTAATTTGGTATCTGATCTTTGTCTTATCCTATTGCACGTTTTCTTTGTGGCTGTAGTGTAGTTATGCCATGTGATATTTTATTGAGGATTTTATCTATGTCCTTATCCTGGAATGCCGGTGGCCTTAGCGTCTTCTCCAGTTCTTTTTCATAGGTTTCCTGATTGAGTTGTAGGGCATCTCTTGTAGGGAATGTATCTCTGGTGACTAGTCTTCTCCTTTCTATGTTGGTGTTTATTTGTATCTTGGCACGCACTAGTTTATGGTCGCTTCTTGTATCAAACCTGTTTAGCACTGTGACATCTTTCACAGTGTTCCTGTTAGCGAGGATGAAGTCTATTTCATTTTTCACCAGTCCGCCTGGGCTTCGCTACGTCCACTTCCTTTGAGTTTGCTTTTGGAAAAAAGGTGTTCATACAGTAGAGTTTTTCGTTGTTTAAGAAGTTTACGAGCGTATCTCCTCGTTCGTTCTGTTCTCCCTCCCCGTTCGAAAAACTTAAGGTTTTGTATTGAAAACGTTTTTTTTTTTCGAAACTTTGATAAACAATATTAACATACATTTTAATTCTAAGAAAGTTTTCGAAAAAAATACGTTTTCAATACAAAACCTGAAGTTTTTCGAAACATTTTCTCATAGCCTCTTCTCCGATATTTTCTGAATATTTTCAAATAATTTATGCAGTTTTAGAGTGAAAAATTAAAATTTGCAGCGGCCCCAAAGGCAATGATTAAAAATATTGCTTCTTACTTGGCTCCCCCTGTCCATTTTGATTGGATATTTTTTCTACAATTAAGGAAATACCCCCCCTAATGTTCACACAAAATTTCACAAAAATCCGCCTATTTGAACAAAATATATTCAGAGCCAAATAAATTTGGCCCACAGTGTATATGTATGTATGTCACACATAATTTATTATTGATCGACAAGTATGGGATTTATTTGAACGTCAAGTCTTCTACTTTAAATTGATTTATCTGTGTGAAAATTTGCATCATAAATTGCTCCCAAACTACATACATGGTAATTTATCACGGTTTAAACATACAAACTCTCAAGTTCCAAAAAGTAGGTTCCAAGGATGAAAATAATGATTTCGTTCTCAAAATATTCGATTAAAGTTTGTATTTTTGGAGACCAAAAGCAAATTTTCTAATCCGAGTCAACCATATAATCAATCAAGAGATGTAATAATATAAAATTACATTCACCGTCAACTATTATTGTTATTATACAAAATCACACCGTTAACCGCTTGAGGAATGTTTGGAATTGTTTCAATATGACATAATTCAGCTTTTACCATTGTAATTTACTTACATGTATAATTAATAAGTACGCATATCGATGATTATTCAATTATTTTCTTGGATTTTATGCTGCAGGCCTATTCAGTCCAAGCCTGCATTTCCTTGATTAGCTACTTAATATTTTTGTATTCTTACCTTAAAAAATATTCCTAAATAGTATCGTTTCTCTCCTAATTTAAGTAGTGGCATTGTCCACCTATTCATAGTTGGTAGAGTGTCTTCTATACAGTTAGGACAGTCTGAAAGTAAAACAATTCGAATTTAAATACAAAGTGCCAAGTAGTTTTTATTTCGAAATTGAATATTGAGCTTTTTGTGTAAAACGAGAAATTAAATGCTAAAACACAAGGTAAAAATGAAGTAATACAAGTATACAAATCGACATTAAGCACTATCTTGATTGCATTGTTTTTTTTTATAATATAATTTGTTACGCACTAATTTTTTAGGTCAGTTGTTTTCCTTTAAAAAAAAGCTCGATCAAAAGATCAGAATTATTTTGTACTGCTACTGAATTGGATTGTATGGACAGCATCTCATCAAAGGGAAAACCGATCTTTTCTGTCAATTTGATGCTTGGCCGAAGGGTCAATTTGGTGAAATAAGGCTGGAAAATGACCTTTAAAGTACAGACAGCCAGTGAAGTGTCCTTTTCAAAATCCATAAATAACATTATGAATCTAACCAAATACCTAAGGAACCTGAAGTTGCTTTATATCAGTTATTGATTGATTCCCTATTAATCGAATAATATTATCATTGTATTAATCATATTTATTGAAAACGCATACATATTATCAACGATGGAATGTCTATTGGCAATTAATCAATCATGCAGACGACCTTAACAAAAAAACAACTATTTCTTTTATCTGTCTAAAGAAGACTAAATGTCAACTTAAAATAGATAAAAAAATCTTACTAATTAACATAACTTTTGTTGATTTTTTTCATCTTCCTTAGAATTATTTTTTACTTAGTACTTGCCAAACTTCAAACACTCTCATGTGTTACAATATTCTTAAATTGCTACAAAAGATAAATTAATCAAAAATTATAGGTACACACTCATCTTCAAGCAGTATTTTACGGACTTATACAACTAAATCTTGCCTACTTCCTACCTTACATTTGATTGAAAAAAATGAACGACTTTTACTTAACGTTGAGTTGAGGTTATTCATACATTTATAGCTACCCAGAGAGCACACAAAGTCTCAAAGACGTCTTTTTTAGGTCTACATTGCGTTCGAATGAAGACCAAAAAAAAAGACGTCGATAAGATGTTGTAAATTCACAACTTAAAGACAACTGGACAATTTGATACAAACGGGCCTAAAAGTGAGTCCAATGTCACAGAATATGGCGCTTCCGCCATGCATGATGTACAGACAAGAAGTATTTAGAAGTCAAGTTAAATCAAGAATTCAAAAACCAGGCGAGAGTTTACAAGAATTCGAATCGAAAGTTAAGAGGCTAGTCAGTTTGGCCTTCACTGGCGCTTATTGATGGTATCAGAGATTCCAAAATCCAGGAAAACTTGAGAATGTTTAAGTTCAGAAAAAGTTGCGAAGCCCTTCTCCGAGCATTAGAACTGGAAGCTATCTTTGGTGCCTCACAACTAGAATATGTACGAGCAGTGTCCATTGAAGACCCAAAGAATAAGCAATCGTCAAAAGAGGATGGTAGCTTGAAGAATGTTATCAGTAAGTTCATGAAGAAAGTGGAGAAACTATTACTAGAAGGTAGACAAACGGGAAACGACTTCAGACAAACACCAACACCGAGAAATCGACTAGAATGTTACCGGTGCCATAAGCTTGGACATATGCAATGGGATTGTAGAGTAAGGATGTCCTCTCCATCTAGGGATCGTTTCCAACGGTTTTCAAGATCTAGAGACCCCAGCCGTAATAGCAGACAAGAACCAACCATTACGGAGTGGCGGATGCTGGTTAGTGATAACAAAGCCTCCAGAGTTGTTTACATAAAATCATTGGGCAGTCATTATGGAGTATTAAAATTCGAAGGACAAATTAATGGAGAATTAAAAACCATCACTTTTGATACAAGTGCTGAAGTTTCTATAATTAGAAAACCATTAGTCAAGGCTCGGGCAATCCAACCACTCACCAGAAATCTGTCACTACGAACAGTCACGGGCGAATCGGCACCAGCTCAAGGAGAAGCTAGGGTTGATCTTACATTTGGATCTACCACTTTTAGGCACATAACATTAGTCGCCGATATAGAAGATGATTTTATTTTAGGAATAGATTTGATCGGCCAACTTGATTTTTCTTTCGATCCTTCTATGAAGATCCTTAAATTTGGTAATGAAGAATTTGTCCTAACTAAACAAGAAAAATCCCAAGCCGTTAAGATCCTGGCCACAAACCCACTGAGGATTCCTGGAAGTACTGAGAAGATCATTTTCGGAAAATTAGAAACAAACCCTGAGTGCTGTGTTGGACTAACACAAAATTTTGTTGGAGAGAAACCAGAAAAATTTACTATTGGAACTCTCGAACCAGTTAAGCAAATATCGAACTGTGATCTACCAGATAAGCGACAAACAGCGAAATTGGACGCAGACACCTTGATGCAGACTTTGGAGAAATCATGGAAACACCTCGATCCAGATAGACTTCAAGAAGCCACAGATTTCATCCTAAAAGAGGCAGACGTATTTGTGATGGATAATCAAACCGGACGGTCCAGTTTAATTCAACACAAAACTGATACTGGATTGGCACACCCAATTAGACAACCACCTCGACGTATGCCAGTAGCTAAACAACAGGAAGTGGAAAACCAAATTGATAAAATGCTTCAAGAGGGACTTATTGAAGAGTCAAATAGTCCATGGTTTGCGCCAGTAGTATTAGTTACGAAGAAAGATGGAAGTCTTAGATTTTGTGTGGACTACCGTAAGCTTAATGACGTTACCAAGAAGGACAGCTTCTCTCTCCCGAGGATAGACGATACATCAACAACTCTATCGGGCTCCAAATGGTTTTCCACCTTGGATCTCAAAAGTGGATACTGGCAAGTGGCAATACACAAAGATGACAAAGAGAAAACTGCCTTCAGTACCGGAAGCGGGTTATACCAGTTTAACGTAATGCCTTTCGGATTGGGTAATGCTCCAGCTACGTTTGAGCGACTGATGCATCTTGTTTTGCGAGGCCTTACATGAAGAACTTGCCTGGTATATTTAGATGATGTCATGATCATGGGAAATTCGTTTCAAGAAAATCTTAATAGCCTGAGAGAAGTTTTTGACCGCTTCCGGAATGCCAACTTAAAACTCAAAGGTTTAAACTTACAAAACGCCGTTCAGAAGGCGTTCAAGAGCAAATTTAATTTGCTGTAGAACATAAAGTCTGTTTTTTTCAGAAGTTATTCTAAAATACAACTTCAGAGTTATTTCAGAATAATTAGGATTCAATATAGAACTGAAAAACTTTTAGAACTCTTTTCAACCAATTTAGAACACTTTGGAGCTCAATATGGCTCTTAAAATACTTAAAAATCTGTCAACAATTTAGAAATTACTAAAAAACTTCTAAAGTGCTCCAGAACTTTTCAAGCCAAGTTTAGTAAGAACACTTTGGAACTTCAATAAGCCATTTAGAACGGTTTTAAACACTTTCCATCAGCAGCATTCAGATTAATTTAAAAACCTCAAATTATTTCAGAGAGCCTAGCGCCTGGAATATACAAAAATTGACAGTTTTAAATGAGTAATAATAAGGAAATATAAGCAAGAAAATATTTCTCTTTCAATTCAAATTCTTGAATTTTTATAATTTTTCCTATTCCAGGTTCTTGATTTTTCCTTATTTCATAATTCTAAATTCCTAAGTTCATTCCATTTAAGTTTTTCAATTCTCATTATTCCTGTATTTTAGAATTTCAGGCTCTTGATTTGTTTTTAAATTTTTACTCCTGGCTCTTTTAATGTTATTCTTTCAAAATTAATTTTGTGTATGTTTTCGTTTAAAAAAAATCAAGAATTTAGGAGCCTAACGTTTGGAATAGACAAAAATTGAAAGTTATAAGTAAATGAGTAATAATAACGGAATATTAGTCTTGCAAGACGTCTTTAGGCAAACGTCTGAAAGACACATTAGCATTCAACCGAAACTCCTTCCAAAAAGTCAAAATTCAAATTTACCTGTAGTCTTTCCAGTAAACTGACCAGCCGACCTAATGGTAGGTCCAGGGCCTGGACCCGGAGTACTGACCACTCCCAAGAAGAGCACCGAAGTTAACAACAAATTGAAATTAAAAAACATTTTTTTTTTCTCAAATTTCAACACGCCAAAACTCGCGACACGACATGCAGGAGCGTTTGTGGTTGACGGTACCGCAGTAGAGTACCGCCTGCTGGATACGCTAAGAACGACCTTGTTCGGTACCTGAAGCGGCCGCAGAGAAAGTGGTTTTTTGCACTGCAGGTTACTTTTTGATCATATACTTCTTCGTACTTTTTTTTTTGATTATTTTGTGTCTGAATGGTTAAGATTCTTCGTTGATGACGGAGGAAATGGAAATTTTTTCTAAGTAGTTTTTGGTTATGACGTCAATAGTACAAAAACAGAAATTAAAAATTCCAATAATCCTTTATAATTCAAGAACCTTCTGTACTTAAGCATGGAAATTTTCATTTTTTAATCCTATTTTTTGATAATTAAATAGATATTCTATTCCTGATTTCAAAAATTTATAATATTGGCTCATAGATTGGGTTAAGTTAAAATTGAATTTCGATAGAAATTAGCTTGGATCTAGTTAAGTTGGAATCAAATTTCGATGGAAATTAGCTTAGATCGAAATAAGTTGAAGTTGAATATCGATGGAAATTGACTTACCAAGTTGAAGTTGAATTTCGATGGAAATATTTCTTTCACCCGTTTTTGAAATACATATTTGCGTTTAAAAATAGATTTAATTGTTTAACCAAATTGCAGTTGCCATGAACAAAATAATTGTCTACACATTATTATTAGTCATTAGTCATTACTCATCATGAAACGATTTTGTAAAATGTTACTTTTAGACAATTTGAGCAATAAAAATTAATGAATATTAGTTATTAATGATGCGTAGGAAATTATTTTCTTCATGCCAATTGCGATTTGGTAAAACAATTAAATCCATTTTCAAATACCCACGCAAATATTTGAAATACAGGCGAAAGAAATATCAACATAGATTTCTGAAACCAGGCCTATACGATTATTGAAAAATATACATACAGGGTGTTCCATTTGAAAAAATACAAGTTGTGTCTGCCACATCTTCTGCTTGCACCCTGCATGTACAAAGAAAAGTTTGTACTTACTTATATGTGTGTGTAACGACACGCACGTAAATTTTAGACAAAGTCTAAACCGTAAGCGAGCTATCACGTTTTATTTATTGCAAAAATAAAGGTTGTAAATCCGTCAAAAATTGGGTTTGAAATTAGGCCAAGAATTTACGTTATGCGTAGAATTGCTAATATGCGTCTATCTTATTTTTGTCCCAATACATCGCGCGTATTTTTGGCGCTCAGGTGCTCGAGAGTGGGAATGCGGTACCCATACTATACAGAGAGGTACCGCAAAAGGGTGCCTGGATGAACCAGGCCTAGTGTAGGCTGGGCAAATTTTATATACAACAACCCAAAAAATATATATGTCGCAGGCTTAATGTAAAATCAGTCTTATTATAATACGCCTAGGCTTTTTCAATACGACTAGGCATATCGTAATACTACCCAAATACTTAATAATTTCACAATTAGACTGGAAATTTTAGTCTTATTATAATACGCCTGCTGCGTGTTAGTCTTATTGTTGAAATGAACCTGCATTAGAATCCGACTAGATGAAATCCGTCGTATTATAATACGACTGATAGTGCACCAGGTTAATTGTATTGAATAAAACTTTCAATGTGCCTTTTGGCCGATATATTGTGCTGACCGCTAACTTTCTTATTCTTTATGCCAAAGAGACATCTTAATCACCAAAGTTTAAAGTATTTTTTCCAAATTTCGTCTCTGTAGCATAAATAATAGGAAAGCTACCCTTCAGCGCAACATGTATCTTTGTTTCTCTTTCTGGAATATCAATTATTTCATTACCTACTTTGGCAGTCAGTGATTTAATCCCTTGAAAACTATCGATTAAGCCGTGTATGGTACCAATTTCATAATCTCCATTAGTGATACTCACTACAGTTCAGGCACAAATATTACACAGAAATAAAACTAATCAACAATAATAATTAATATTATTCGACTGGCACACTGTCAGTCGTATTATAATACGACGGATTTCATCGAGTCAGATTCTAATGCAGGTTCATTTAAACAATAAGATTCACACGCAGCAGGCGTATTATAATACGACTGAAATTACTAGCCTAATTGTAAAATTCTTAAGTATTTGGGTAGTATTACGATATGCCTAGTCTCATTGAAAAAGCCTAGGCGTATTATAATAAGACTGATTTTACAATAAGCCTGCGACATATACATTAAATTTATACAATGAACCTTGTTTTCACTTTCCCAGAATTACCAAATTAACTAATAAATGAAATTCGATGAGATCGAACAGTGTGTTTTAGTGATATTGATTTGATATTATTTTTGTATTCTACCCTATCATAAACTTGGTATGTTTCAGGGGTCAATGAAGGATTATTTATTTATTTTTTATTCAGTATTTCTTTGTTGTATTCAAATGACCTCTTTGTGCCTAATCGTTGTTGCCATTTGCATTTCAAAGAATCGAGGAATCAAAAACTACTAATTCTACCATCAGTTAGCGTCAGTTAACATCATTGGCACGCATTTGAAGATAAACAAATTGGAAATGGCATGTTCAATATTTGACTTATATTTTGTAATGTTTGCTTTTAAAATTGACTTTGAAAAAAATGTATTCAATTAGAATTGTCTGTATGACCTGGTTTGTAATTCCTTCGTTAAAATAATACGAAGCTCATCAAGATTTGCAATATGTGTGTTTTAGGAACAAATAGACATAATATGTTAAATTTTCAATGGATGTTTGACCTAATAAATATTATGGTATTTGAAGATCTAGTGCATCAATTTAAGTTATTTCACAAAAAACATGGAATTAGCTTTTTCTTTTTTTATTTGCCACAGTAATAGGTGAATTTTGTTACTTTATCAAGCTTGTGTTGTAAAGATATAGAGGTAATAATCGCATTATAACACATAATGACACGTAATGCATCAATTATTAGGCTTTCTGTACCTAACTAAAAACAGAACATTATTATGTAGCTTTTATTTGTCTAATTTCTTATGGAGTATGACGAATATCTACATTACCCAGTTTTGCTAAACCTACCTATATAGATATACTAAATAATCTCTAGGAGGTATTCAATCTACCTTATAGAGAGAAGTTATGTGTTAGCAGTTACCTCCATCTGACAAGAAGGTCTTTATGTCATAAACCTCCTAATTTTTACGTTACCGGTTAATAAGAAAATTAAATTCAACCTTTGAGGAAATAAGTAATATGTACTTTCACGATCGTTTTTTTTTCCTGTTATTTTTCCGGCATCAAGTTGAGACCCAAGTCAAGTAGAAAGCGACTGTCATTTGTCACAACTCGTGGATAAGTATATCTTAATGAATGGAGGCATTGAACCAGAACGTAACAACAATTTTAATTTATTTATTATCATGTAATATTTTGCAATGATGTATAATTTACTCAACTAGGAAATAAATTTAGTTTTTTTGAAACTAATTTCGTGGTTTTTTAATATTGTAAGCGAAATTTTGAATCACTTTTGGTAGATTTGCACGGATGTATGTTAAAAGGTGATGATTTGTCGATATTGAATAACCAAAAAACATTATAAAGTCTGTATAGGCGTTAAAAAAATATTAAATCCGGGATTACCTTCATCGTCAAAGTCTTCAAAATAAGAATAAATATTTTCAGTTCTGTCACTGTCTAAAATCTCGCCGTTATCGTTTTCAGTAGAATTCCCCAGAAGTTCTTGTATGTTATTACTTGGCGATCTTCGCACCACTGCAGCTCCATTGGGTAAAATTTCCAACAAGCTCGGCGGATTTGACAGTCTTTTGCCGTATAAACTAGTTTCTAAGAAATTTTGCAGGATTTGCTTGGTTATTTGATTCTGCCTGTGAATTTCTTTCAGGTCCGTATTGGTGAGACCTGAAAGAAAAAAAATAATGTCAGAGGCAAAATCAATCTGGATAGGTAATTTTAGTTTCGCAATCAGGGAATTTGAACATATAAGTATACTTTCCAAGGCGTATATAAGAACCCAGCATTAACTGGTGAATCAAGCATGTAGGTATGTTATATGGATTTCACGACTACAATGACCTCCAGACGCGTCTTAGTACCACGGTCGTACAAAGTATCGCAAAGTCTAGACGCTTCTTCAGCGAGTTATCCTTATCCTGTCTGAACTTGTCATACGAAGAACTGCTCCATCGTCGCAACGCTCCCAAAGAAACAGCAAGATCAACATGTTTTAAAATATAAAAGACCCTGTCTCTTTAGTTGAAGTCGTCATTATTAAGTTAGTTAAGTTAATGTCCAATATAATTATAACCTGTATTTTAAATTAAATTAGTGTTTTTTTTTGAAAAGTGTCTTCAAGAGTTTTTGAGATAACAATTTGGCGCAGTCGGCAAGATCTGTCAACGCTATCAGGTCAGAACAAAAATATTCTAACTGATAGCGGCGGATCCTATTATTTTTTTTTTGCATTTACCATATTTTGCGAGGTTTCATTTTACCATATTTTGAAAATTTACCAACCATTTTTCATAAATCGTTTTCATTAACCATATTTTGAAAAGTTTGTCAATCAATTACTTTCGAAATTTAAATCAACAAAATGCTGTGCAAAACCACATAATGGAAGATAAATAACTTGATAATTAGTGGACTGTATAATTAGGTGGACTGGATGATCGACTGGATAGGGAACTAAAACACACGCGCTTTTCACTGACACTATATTTACAACAATTTACACAATATTTACACTATTTACAATTACTACTACAAGATGACAAGAAGCCAGAGCTTGCTTAGATGCCCAACAGGGCAGAGCTAGATTATAAAATTTATTAAAATGTGAAAAGGTTTCTGGATGCTTGTTAACGTGGACAAGCTCCAAGCTACACTGCTGCAATGACAAAAAATGGCGCGCAATATATTGACAGACATGACAAAATAGACATGACGACAACGCTGCAGTGTTGCAAACTTTATATGTATAAAAATATTTTGCCATCAAAAAGAGATAGCATGATTGTTGGAACATGTTTCCAACATGCTGGGGGGCCTAGAGTTTCACATGAAACCAAGGTAAAATTTTCCAGCAAAAAAAATAAAAAAATTAAAGAGAAAGTAAGCAACCCTTTTTTTAAAAAAAGGTATGATTTCAATGATGATCCAGTAAACGAAAACTTAACTAACAATTAAAGCTAATTGAATATAAATATAAATCTAAATGTTTTACAAATATATGTACAGAATTTTGTGAATAATTTTCAAAAATATTATTAACAATTATTGTCATCAATCGGTAACACTGCAATCTTGGTAACCGATCTGAGATAAATACCTTTTTTGGTTTTCACTTCGACAACCCTTACTTTGCCGTCCTTTCCAGGTATTGCTTTAACTATTCTTGCCATTGGCCACTTATAAGAAGGTACATTATCCTCTCTAACAAGCCCTCCCTAAGGTTAGGCATCTCATCACGCCATTTTGGCCTATTTTGGAGTTGCGTTAGATAGTCGTGATACCACTTTTTCCAAAAATGCTGCTGCATCTGGACACACAATTTCCAAAACTTAAGTCGACCTTGGGGAATTTCCGTCAAATCAGGGTCAGGAAAGCTTGTGATAGGCGCACCTATCAAAAAATGACCAGGGGTCAAATAGTCCAAATCTGAAGGATCTTGTGACAAGGCTACAAGTGGTCGGGAATTTAAAATTCCTTCTACTTGGACAATAAGAGTATTAAATTGTTCATAGGTAAGCTCATTGCTACCTATGACTCGCTTGATGTGAAATTTTGCCGATTTTACTCCAGCTTCCCATAAACCACCAAAAACTGGAGAATAGCTCGGTATAAAATTAAATGTAATTTTTTCCTGAAGGGAATAATTTTCAATTTTTTCTGTTTCGTTATAAAACTCTTTGATTTTATTCTCGGCTCCTTTAAACGTGGAACCATTGTCGCAGAAAATATTTGCGGGCTTCCCCCTCCGCGAAATAAAACGCTTCAGAGCAGCTAGAAAATTTTCGGTTGTCAGGTCTGAAAGCAGTTCCATATGAATTGCTTTGACTGAAAAGCACACAAAAAGTGCTATGTATGCCTTGGAACTTACGGATTTTCTAATTCGAGATTGCTTAACGAGGAAGGGACCGCAAAAATCTACCCCGACATTTTGAAACACTCTGGCTGAACAGACTCTTTTTTCCGGCAAGGAACCCATTAATTGAGTGGAACATTTTGCTTTGAATTTAAAGCAAATCACACATTTGTGTAGCTCTTTTTTAATTAATCTTATTCCATTTATGAGCCAATAATTGAGGTTTAGGTAAACAATTTTTAATACTTACAATGACATCATAAAAAAGAGTTTCTACATCATCAATTAAATCATCATAGTTACCATCAAGGCACAGAATTTCAACTTGAATGTCTTTAAGCTTTTGAAAACTGTCCTGCAATATTTCCTTCCGAACTAAAAATTGGTCGGTTTTATACTCACTGTCAGGATCAGATTTGTGATCGGAAATATAACGACTTATTCTAACCATGGAGTCGATTGCTTGCTTTTTCTTTGACAATAATTTATCAATTTGCTTTTTGGTAGCCATATTTACAAAGTTTACAATCAAAAAAATAAGAAAATATCAAAAGAAATCTATAAACAAAATTTAAAATTACCTAATAAATTAGATTTTTTTTTAAAAACTACTTAACAAAACGAAAAACGGATAATTGTTCATCCTTTAAATAAATAATGAAAAAATAGCAATAATTAATGCGAAAAATTCAGTTTTTCAAAAATAATGCAAATTCACTCAAATTCACTGCAAAAATCCAAAATACTCAAACAACAAACAACAAAACGTAAACAAATGTTTGACATTTAATTTGAGGTTAAGCTGTCGGGGTGGTGAACTCTCACTTTCATGTTCGTTGCTCCGGGGCTGTACTTCATTGCACCAAGCAAGGATACTGCACCCGGGGTGACTTGGGTTGAACCAGACGAGAAAAAGAAGCACCCTTTTGAATTTGACAAGTGAAGTTTGTTTGCTCCGCCCCACTCTACTTACGCACTTCCGGTTCCGGCGGAAACCTTCGCTGGTGGCACGTGGAACCCAACGTTGTTTGAGACACGTGCAGACTGCACAGTGGATGATTGATTTTTTGCATCACATGGCGCCAAAAATCACGATGGAACAATCAATAACCACTAAAAAGGCACTTTTTGAGGGTTTTTAAAGCACTTTTAGGTTCCGAACTATCCAGTATCCGGCTCGAACTGGCCAAAATTATGTGCAAAACCACATAATGGAAGATAAATAACTTGATAATTAGTGGACTGTATAATTAGGTGGACTGGATGATCGACTGGATAGGGAACTAAAACACACGCGCTTTTCACTGACACTATATTTACAACAATTTACACAATATTTACACTATTTACAATTACTACTACAAGATGACAAGAAGCCAGAGCTTGCTTAGATGCCCAACAGGGCAGAGCTAGATTATAAAATTTATTAAAATGTGAAAAGGTTTCTGGATGCTTGTTAACGTGGACAAGCTCCAAGCTACACTGCTGCAATGACAAAAAATGGCGCGCAATATATTGACAGACATGACAAAATAGACATGACGACAACGCTGCAGTGTTGCAAACTTTATATGTATAAAAATATTTTGCCATCAAAAAGAGATAGCATGATTGTTGGAACATGTTTCCAACAAATGCCTAATGAAACCAATGGAACAACTGTGAAAGTTGAACCATACAAACTTTCCGAAATATTTTTGAGAATTTCATACATCTGTCAAAACTGGTATTCCAACAATAAATTGATATGTTTTGATTGTTGATTTGAACCAATCAGAATGTAATTACGCGATAATTTGCACTAGTGCAAATTATCAGATAGTTGCATAGTAACTGGTGCGAAAACTGGTGTTTTGACATTTTTTGACAAAGAATTTAAATGTTTGATTTATGAAATTCTCTCATTAAATACAACTCGTGCAATGGAAATATATTTATAATTTTCGACAAATTTGCACTCATGCTTTTTCAACTAAAAATGCATTCGGGCAAATTTCTCAAAAATTATCAATAATTTCCATTGCACTAGTTATATTACTATTGATAATTCCTGAATTTGAAGGAGATTAAATCTTCTTAGGAAACTTTATTAATGCATGCGATTGTGCCTACAATATGGCAACCACGCAGCAAAAAGTTTTACTTGTTATTCACATTAAAAATAAGCTCAGAGGTAGAGCAGGTCAACTGATAAGTTCTCGAAACTCCAATTCCTATTTGGAGATCAAACAACTTCTGAATTTACACTTTGGAGATTCTAGAGACCTCTCAGCACTTATCCATGACCTCCAACGACTCAAACAACTACCTGGTGAGTCTCCCCTTACTTTCTACAACAGAACATTTGAACGACGAAGAAAAAGAATTAATAACCAACTTATTCCTGAACTTTTCCGACATTTTCTACCTGGAAGGTGACACACTCACATTTACTAGTGAGATTAAATACCCCATTGACACCAATAATGCAAAGTCTGTGTACACCTACCAAATCTTACAGGTACCCCAAATCCACAAAGAAGAAGTCAAATCCCAAGTTACCAAAATGCTAGACCAAGGCATAATTCGTCTGGGTCGTTCCTGAGAAACTTGATGCTTCTGGCAAACCCAAATGGCGCGTCGTAATCGACTACCGTAAAGTTAACGAACTTACTGTAGACGGCAAATGCCCGCTGCCTAATATTTCCGATCGTCTGGATCAATTGGGAAAATGTCAATATTTTACCACCCTTGACCTAGCCTCCGGTTTTCACCCAATAGAAGTAGACTCCAAAGATGTTTCGAAAACCGCTTTTTCCGTAGAAAATGGACCTTA